CGAGCGCGCCACTTTTTCCCGCTCGAGTCGAGTCAGCCGGTCGGTCGGTCGGCCGGTCGGTTCTCTCGTCGTGATCTTGTCGCCAAGGCGCGTCGATCATAAGCCGGAACCATCGCGTCTTGCCGCTGGTCATTTCGTCAGCGCCGGCTGACGTTCGGCTAAAGAGGAGACACGCAGGGTCTCTCCACGCGGAATTCTCCCCAATCCGGACGTTCTCCCGTATCGACGCGCGGTGCTCGAAACTTCGGTATCGAGAACGGATCTGCACGTCGGTCTCGGTCGCGGTCGTGCGGAGATTAACTGACTCGCTGACTCGTGTGCTGATGTTCGTGAGAAAAACGCGGAGCCCATTTCCTAAGGATGCCGTTGCGTCGATATGCCGCGTTCGAGTAATAATCGCTACTGCCGATCGTATCTCACGATCGAAACACGAACGTTCAAATGTCGGTGTGGTCTGGTCACACTTGTTCATATGGAACCCGCATTTTGCGCGCTTTGCAATCTGTAGCAGTGATGGGAACCACGGGAACGAGCGGGAGGAGAGCTTTCGTGGATCGGACAAATCGATAGTTACTTTTCCTCGGACGTAAAATGAAAAATTAATCAAATAATAATCTCCGAATAATAATCAACTTTCAGCGGCAGTTCCGGTCGCAATTAAATCGCAGATTCAGCGATCGAATTCCGCGAGGTGCGTCATCGACTACCGAGATTTTTCGTTTCGTAAGGAATGAATTTCGTGTCGCCGGGATTTTTCACTCGGTCGGGACTCGTCTTCCAGGATTCGTCTTCCACAAGCAACGGGATCCGAAGCTTGGAAATATAAAGCGAGAAATTTATGAGCGCGGATATCACACGCGGAATTATTCACGCAAGCGGGTAAAAATGCAGCGCAACGGTGACACAAAGCATTCCAGGCGGGATAACCGAACTGGATAACGGGTCCAGATATTGCTACTCGACTCCCTCGTGCCGCGAGTAATTGCTATGCTAGGATGCCTTTGCCATGGAGGACGAGGGAATTCGCGATATTCGCTCTCGCGTGCATCCAGGTATCTGTACGGGTGTATAGTATAGCGTTTCCGTCGGCAAGCCGAGGAGGGTCGGCCTTTGGTGGCGTCGTTTCCGCAAGCAACTCAAGGCAGACCTCGCCGAGTTGTATATATCACGCGAATATTACTGTCACTCGCCAACTGGCGCATCGTCCATGTGTATTATCCACAAAATATAGCGGAAAGTATCTTTTACACTTACTGAGAGAAACGAAATTGTTCATTGTCAATCAACGAAAAATCCAATCGCGTCAATGAAGCTCTTTCCTCCGTGTGTACAATTACAGCTGCGTATACTAAATACTTTCTTCTCAATGCCCACTCGAGAGAGGCAATGCATAAAAGTACTCGTCTCTTCGAAATGATGAAACAATACTCAGTCGACGAGGAGAGAGCAAGCGTGATCGAAAATTTTTCCGCGTTACGACTTTAACGCCGCTCGCTGCCGCCGACCGCGTCGTCGTCGTCGTCGTCACTCCCTCGAAAGCGAGGAGGAATATTTTCGCGGTAATTAATAAGCCCTTTATTCGATAGGGACGGCGGACTCTCCGCCTCCCTATCGGGGCCCTACAATAACAGTTTGACAGGAATCTAATTGAGTCCCGCGTCGCGGCGTAGGGGTGGCTTCCGATATAATCTACGATCCCATGAATTACGAGTACCCGCGAACGTCGCCCGCTCCTTCTCCTACGCAAACAAGGCAACCCTTTGCGACGGGCGAGGCGAGGGAAGCAGCGGCGGCGGCGACGCGACGGCGGCGGCAGCAGCGGCGGTAGTAGCAGCAGAATCCGGCATTAGCATCCTCGGCGAGCACTAAGCCGCCACCGCCACCGCCGCCGCCGCCGCTGTTGCTGCTCGCCGGTTGCCGCTCCTACGAGGCGTCTTAGATCGAGACAACCCCATGATTTCGTCTCTTCGGTATTCATGAACGGGGAACCGACGACGACGGGGCGGCGTTGCGCGCCGCTTCCTTTTCCTTCATGAATTTACAATCAACAGAACGAATCGCGTGAGAGAGAGAGAGAGAGAGAGAGAGAGAGAGAGAGAGAGAGAGAGAGAGAAAGAAGCGTCTCACCAGCGCGTGTTCACGCGTACTGTCGCGCGAAGAAGGCCCTCTCCGTGCGCGTTTCGTTTCTCCTCGATTCTAGGCAAGCTACGGTGACATTCGCGAGCGAATCTGAATGATTCTGAACAAAATAACCGATGCACGCGTACGACACTCGCATCTCACTTGTTTCTCGCTTGTTTTCGTCGCCCGTTACTCGCTTGCACCGTCACAGGAAGATTCTGAGTCCGCTAGGTTGCGGTGGACGAGCGCACACGTTGAGAGAAGCGTCTAGTCTTTGTGACTGCAGTTGCATAATGAAGTAATTATAGTCGAGGAATTAATTTTTTATTATATAATTAGCGGAAGCTACCTACGGTATTAATGTTGATAATTCCACGTGTAAATTGCTGCTATATTGTCCTCTGAAAATGATGAGTGAGATTAATGATTTCTTATCTCTCAGCGCGTAAGCACAAATTCAAACGGCCGTATCGCTCGCTCACGAAAGGATTTGAAGCCGAGCTCTCTTCGGCTTCGAGTCGCGACACGTGGCTCTGCGTGACGCTGCGTCGAATTTCTGAAACGCGCGAGAAGTGCACGGTAAATAATCCCGTTCGGCATTTAATACATTGAACGGGGCTTTCACGGCGCGCAGCATCTCCTCGCGCCCACCTTACGGCCGTCGGTCGTGAGACCGTCCCCAGTTGGAAGCGAACCGCGTCGTCGTCCCCGGCCCATAATCGCATCAAACGGCAACAAATCTGCGCCACCGGAGTGTACAAGGGCGCGAACCGCGGACCCGAGAAGCAAAGGGGGATCAACCGGTCGGAATCGGGCGGCTTGGGTGTGAAGGGAGGGGGATCGGTGGTCGTAGGCAGTTGCCACGTGCTGCTGTCACTAGCACAGATTATATTATATAGGAATGGCAGAGCGAATAGGTGTAGATATAAGCACCAGAGCGGCAGTTAATAAATATGATAATGGCGGGTGGAATGAGAGAGAGAGAGAGAGAGAGAGAGAGAGAGAGAGAGAGAGAGAGAGAAAGAGAGGGGGGTACGTGGGGTGCGATATGGGAGATACCACTGTATAAGAGTGACCACCAGAAGCGGAGACCTGTCATCGTCAGGACCTCTCTCGTATGTCACGTGGACACGTATACGCGTACGCGCACGGATACATACCGCGCGCGTATCCCCCCTCCCACCATACACACACGCACGTATACAGGGTAAATGCGTACGTAGTAAAGGACATAGCAACACACGCGAAAAGAGAGAGCGCGTATTTGCTCGATTCTTTCCGTCACACGTGAAGCGATTGCGTTCAGATCGGGCCGCCGCTGATGTTTGGATTTCAATTTCGATGATAAGGACTTTCGATCAATCGGGACTCTCTCGCGAGGACTTATGCGCGAGAATAGCATCTTCTTTCGCGATTACCGTGTCTACTGAGCTCGTTCCCGGCCTCGCCCCAGATCTCCACCCGCTCGCGGTGGACCCTCCTCCTAATTTACGCGCTAATCCGTCGCGTCTCCGTGGCGCGTTCCGGCTTCTCGTGCGTACGCGCGTTACGCACGCACTTACGTGCGTCAGCGCGGGCGTACGATCTACGCTCGGACGGCTCGCGCGTATCCGCAATGTGGCGCGCCGGAGCAATTAGTCACGGTGCATTTAATAAATCGCCAACTCCCGCTTAACCCCCGGGGAGGGTTAAGTCGCGTCTTTCTCCCCCTCGGAAAATATCCAATAACGACCGGCTGACTCGGCTCGTCTCTCACCGGCTTCGCTCCGCTCCGCTTTGCTCCGCACGCTTTGCACGCGCGCGCGCGCGCGCGTACCTGCCGTCCCGCGTGGCCGGCATTAACCTTCGTCCGTACGTCCGGGAGAGAGAGATCGGCTTACCTTAATAATCGTAGGTACACGTCGTGCTCCAAGGGGGTTACGACGTTACGGGGCCAACGTTCTGCGTCGTCGCCTCATCACCGGGACGCAGGGGCTCCGCTCGCTCGCTCGCCCCTTTCCTGGCAAGGGTGTTACCATGGCGTCTGGCGTCTGGCGGATGGACGAGGCGGCGTAGTCAGGGCGAGAGCCCTGATCGAAAATCGCGAGAGATGTAATGAAACATTCTTAGCGCGACGAGGGCTCGTATTTTCATCGCTGCGAGTGCTGCTCTTCTCGCGCCGGCGAGAAGAACGAGAGAGCGAACTTTGACTCGCTGCATCGAACATGCGCGTCCACGCTGCTGCCCCTCGAGGACGCGTGGACGCGTTTTTACGCGGCTACGCGTAGATTGCTTTTTATTTCTTACTCACGTTCGTTAAACATAAGTATCGAGGTATATCGAGGAGAGAGCCAGTGTGGACTTCCTTCCACCTGTATAAAAAGTTTTTACATTTTCCCGGGGTTACATTCCGATTAGAATTTTCAGATTTGAGTCGAAAGAATGTTTCCCGCTATGACAGCAATTCGCGAAAAACCATTTTTATCTCAAACATAGATTCTCTCTTTGCCCAGAAACGAAATATATGGAAACCAGCGCTTTTTTTCAGTGGATAAAATCGGTGTGCTTTTATGAAATCAAATGGGAAATCTCACTTTTATATCAACCGTTGAATTCAATATAGAAAGAAAAAAAATAAAAAAAATATTTAAAACATTTTGAAACACTTGAAAATATTTTGAAGCAGCGGAAATAGTCGGTGTTTTATACGTTTCGTCCAATTTTAAAAAACAAAAATCAGAAGAAATCTTGGGGAAAACGCTGGAAACGGGATCCGTTTGAGTTCCACGTAGAATCGCGTGTTTGAAATACTCTATCTCAAACTTGCGTAAATTTCCCAATTATATAGTTTATTAAAATTTTCGGGAAATTCGACCGAATCTCGAGTAGATTTTAAGAAATTATCCATGCAGGTACAACTACGATTTCGTGCGATCGACGGTTTTTCTCACAGGGTGACAAAGAAATGAGAAAAATGAATGATCATACATAGCGTGTGCAAACACGGGCTTCGTTGGTGTGTTCGAATAAGTGTATCGTTTTATTAATATTTCTCTTATTATTTACAAAACTCGATAATAATCTCTAGCTGATTTCGCTCACCATGACATACTACTCGATATCGTCAATCCTATACTTTGCTTTTTTTGTTCTCTTGTTCTGCGTGATCGTTATACGGTATGTCGGATAATGCTCGTCCTCTAAGTCATTTATGTATAATGAACGTCGTCTCGCGCGATTGAAAAATTTCGTTGTCGTCATACGCGCGCGACGCGTCCCCATTTTCTCATCACTTCGCGGCGCGAAACGCGCGCGCGCGATCATCACTCACCACACACAACAAACGTACGTACATACGTGTATTTACAATGTATAAGTGTCATTTACAATTGAACGTGCGGAATTCTAAACTTTACACTCACCTTGAGATTCTCTCACTCGCGACGCGAACGCGCAACGTGTATCTCGAAAATAAGAGGAAAATAATAATAGAATGACTCGATTTGTTCCTCGCACCCATCCTTTCTTCTCTATCCTTCCATTGTCCTATACGCTTCGTTCCTTTCCAACGAGAAAGGAGACCGTTGAGCTGTTCCTTGCGAACGTCGTAGCTCGCGAATGAAATCGTGTCACGATACTGTACAGGCGAAATGTGTCATCGTTTCGGTAAGTCGCGCGACATTTTCGGACTTCAACGCGCCAAGTTACTTCTCTTCTTAACGAAACGGAATATTTTTACACACTCGCGCGATAGGATACACCGCTTGAAACAACGTTTCGTCTCAGTACAGGACTAGAATTTTCTCGAGATAAAACGACGAAAATTTCAGCTGCCTACGAGATTCGATGTCCGAAGTTGCGTGACGCACCGCTCGAACAAAAGACGCAAGAGAGAAAGAGAGACGTTGTCGTCTTGTCTCGATACGTTACGTGAAATCGTATAAGGCGGACAATGTGAAATGTCGTGTGATTCCCGTCGTACTCGCGCGTATTCTCGTTGAAGTGAAAAATTGTCGCGTCGTCGGCGAGATTTCCTACCGAAGCGATGAAAGTGTCGTGTGTCGCGCGCGAGCGGATGAAATAATGCGCGTTGACATGACAATATATCGCATTTGTGTATGACAATGCTGCAAAATTCCGCGCGTAAATGCGGAACGCGTCGGGATTTGTCCATCGGATGCTCGATGAAAGAGAGAGAGAGAGAGAGAGAGAGAGAGAGAGAGAGAGAAGAGAGAGAGAGAGAGAGGAAAAGAGAGAGAGAGAGAAAGCGGATGCATTGTCTGGGAGCGACTTTCCGCGCGACAATGTCGCTCTCGCGAGCGAGCGTGTCTCGAATATCGCGTTCGGTGAAATCGAGTCACAATCACGCGCGCGATGCGGTGTACTATTTCGTAATTCAAATCGACGGGTTTCAACCCATCGAGTGGGCGCGGGGACCGATAATTCGCGAGCGAACAATCCGTTTCGCCGTTCCATTGTAGCCACGCGTGTTTTGTTTTCGATGACTGCAGCGGCGCTCTACAATGTCGTCGTTTATTTCGCCCGACGAGACGCACTCCTCGGAAAATCGCCATTCGAATTCGAACGCGCCATATCGATTCCGCCGAAAAAATTCCATTTTACTTTCCTCTCCCCCTTTTTGTCCCGAGTGAAACATTTTTTCGCGACGTGACGCCTTCACACGCGCACACACAATGACTCGCAATTATTCCGCTCACTCGATGAGAGAGAAAGAAAAGGAGAAGGGGTGACAGAGAGCAAGAAGGGGAGAGAAAGAGAAAGAGAGGAAACAGATAGGAAGTCGTTCAACCATTTCGGATATTTGCTACTTTAAACGGGAAGTCATGATTTCCGTGGGGAGAAGGGAAAACAGCGTTGTCTGAAGCGACCGGTGCTTACTGTGGTGTTACCGTTCGGAAACGTTTCGCATTTATCACGGCTGCGCTCGCCGCATCCGCAGTATGTCGGACTCCCGACGGTAACGCCGGAAAATCGATTCGAGTGTGTCGACGCGAAGTGTTCTCGGCTGAGCGGTTGGTCTCTTCGGCGAGAGAAGCTAGCGATTCGCGATCGATTCACGTCGGCTAACTTGACGTGAGAATCCGCAAACAAGCCGCAAACGTCATCGTCGAGCTTCGTGCGTGCGAAAACGCACCTCACGTTGACCCAGAAAGATATGCCGACGTGTCTATCTTTCCTGGGGACGACTCACACGTCCGAGCAAGAGCGAATCAATCTCCTGTGTGCGCGTCGAAGCGCACCTTGCGGGAGTCATCGAAGGCTTCGGTCCTGCCCGCTTGCCCGCCCGACGAATCACTCGCGGATCGATCTGTGCGGCGACGGCTATGTTACAAATTAACGGTTACCCTGATGTGGCGACTACGACTACGGACTCAAGCGTCCTCGTCTTAATGTCACCCACGACCGGCTCCTTATCGAGATCACTGATTCATAGAGACGCGGACGATCACGCTGAGACGGCCCCCTCCCCCCTACAATCATCGAGCATACATACTCATCGATCGTCGATTGTCGCAACATCACGTCCTCAGTTGTCATTAGCGTGCCACCGACGACACGCGGGTATCGTATGAATACGCCCGACGCCAACCTGGTTACCGTGCGCCCGGCACGGCATAATAACCGGTGCGCTCATGGGCTGGTCTCTTCGTTATGGAAAGAGAAACGGGTAGAAAGAGAAAGAAAGGGAGAAAGAGAGAAAGGAAAAACCTCGCTCGTGCAATATAACAACCGGTTAATCAATATCACGTGGGACATCCGAACGTTCAACGACGGATAGAGAAGAGGTCCATGAATTCACAGGTCTTTTATCCACGCGTTGTCTCTTCCTCTCTTTCCTCTACCTCCTTCTCTACCTCTGCCCCATGAAATGCCCTCGGCGAAGAAGACGGAGGAAGCGTCAGGTTCATCCTGCGTTTGCCGCCACGAAGCAGCTACGTCCAGTCCGTCAACGACCGGTCGCCGTGGACTCCACGACCAGTCAACTGTATTTTCTCTCTCTCTCTCTCTCTCTCCCTCTTTCTTTCTTTCTTTCTCTCTTTCTCACCATGGTCCCTCCTAAGGACTATCATCGGGTATGGCGTACCAGGCAGCTGGATCCGCGGCGAGGGCCCATGGGCCTGCGACGGAGGGATTGGCGTAGGCCGCGGCCCCCGCCGCGGATGGCGCGCACTACCAAGCTCGACCCTGCAACGGCAGGTACGCGCTGCACTGCGGCTGCTGCTGCTGCTGCATGCCCTGCTGCGCGCCAGCCCGCGTGTACGAGCAGTGCTGCAGGCTCTGGCTCGAGCTCATCACATGACTGACGCCCACGACCGAGTGATGGGACACGACCGACGAGGTGGCCGCGTGATGGCTGCCGTGGGGACTTGAGGCCGCCGTCATGTGCGGCGCCGGGCTCGCCAAGGCTGCGCTGGGCCCGCCGCGGCTACCCTCGTTTCCGCCGCCGCCGCCGCTGCCGCACGGCTTCCCGTCCTTCACCAGCACCGGCACCGCCACCCGCCGCGGCGAACTCGCGCTCTGAAACAAGGGAGAGACCCGTCGCTCGTCATCATCGATTCTCGTCGCTTGTGGACGTGTGTATGTGTGCGTGTGCGTGTGCGTGTGGGTGTGAATGTGTGCGCGCGCGCGTATGCGCGCGACACAAGCGGCGATTCATCACCGGCGAGTTAAATCACCGATCGAGTTGCATAATAATGGAGAGAGAGAGAGAGAGAGAGAGAGAGAGAGAGCCCACGATCAAATTTATCCTTCGTTCCGGGCGAAATATGTTTTCCACGTTTGCGACTGAAAAATCCCCTCGCGGAATTTTGCACAACGTCGCCGGCGCTCCAGCATCGCGCGCAAGTGTTCAATATAATATGATATAAATAAATGCGCGCGCGGTCCTATTGGGTCTCTTTTGCTCGGTCCTTTTCTTTTTCTCTTTTTCCCTTTCTTTTTCTTTCTAATGAGTAAACACTCGCGCGCGTGGCTACCGATCGTCTCTCATGGAATATTGAAACGTCACTGTTTGCCGAAGCTCCTTGGAACGAGTGTACGCATTTTAAGTGCGCACTCCGGTACGCACACATGTACATGCCGCGCGCAATCTCCTCTCCCGGCTTGGTGGACGCTGCGAGAACAAACGCGAGGATACGTGGGCCGGCGAGGACCTCGACCGAGCGTTCCTGTGTTCCGAGCAAACACGCGCAGCGCGGTAGGCCCGGTAAGGCACTTAACCCGCGCGATATCCCGCGATCGGCGCTCGCTACGACGGACGGAGCGCGTAGAACGAGCGCGCGCCCGCGCGATGGATTCTCGTTACGAATAAACAGTACCGGCTACCGTGAGCCACGCTTCGAATATAGTTTCATGTGTGGACGGAGTAGAGAATCTTTACACGATCGACGAGAATAGTCGTTTATGTACCTATTGCGGGAAAAGGGGGGAGGAGAGGGGAGAAAAGGGGAATTGCAAGGTGTTCCTCTTGAGAGATAAGATTTCATCGGAAAAGTGTTTCAGGAGAAACATCGTATAGCAATGAGCACGTGTTGAGGAAAGAAAATTTTACAGAAAACGTTCTGAAAAAAACATTTCGTTGAAAAGTTACCCTAAAATGTACACCTTGTCGTCCCTTTTCGACCGTTTTTCTCACAGTAAACGCACGAGCGAGACGCACGGCCGACATGATCCGTTGGACCGAGTTGACACATTCCGCCCTACGCATGCCGGATTCGTATAAAATGTTAGACACGATCGTAAGGATCGCGGTTTCCTCTGCGTCACCTTACGTGAAAATTCGGATTTGTGGAAGTTTGCTCGAAGGAGAGGATCGCGCGCTCTCTCTCTCTCTCTCTCTCTTTCTCTCTCTCTCTCTCTCTCTCTTTCTCTCTCTCTCTCTCTCTCTCTCTCTCTCTCTCATACACGCACAGACATACACATACACATGTCACGTTGGGCCCGTGGGCGTAAAGACAGCCCTGTTCTATACGTCAACCTGGACCCCGCGGACCCCACTGCATACCAAACAGAAGCCGAAGCAAGCAGGCCGAGTACCTGCCAGGACGACCACTCAGCTGTATCAACATTCGATACACGACATTCCTCTTCGATCTCCTCGCCGGGTGGGAGGAGATTTAATAATACGATCGTGCTGGAAAATAACGTCGTACGGCTTGCTCGCGACTTCTCGTCAGTCTAATCGGCGTCGTCGTTTATGAGAGGACGACACCTTTGATCTTCTCTTATTCGATCATCACGTTACTACATTGTCCGTCGGATGGACTCTCGCCGGTCGCGTTAAAAATATTTTCGCGGAGTTTCGTCTGTACGACTCTCTAACGCGATCCCGCCGTCGCTTCTCTACCGGGAAAAACACCGAGAGAAAAAATGATTAATTACTCGCTTCAAATCGTAGATATTTTGAGTATACTTTTTGTTGTTCTAAGAACAAAGTAGCGACAGCGATATACTCGTGAAGTTATCATCAATAATATTCCAGTAAGTCTTATTATATAAATGTTTTTTCTCTGACTATGATTTTTATCTCGTTGTGTAATCGGAGTCATAAACAGCAAACGTTTCCTTTCTCAGTGAATAAAACGCGATTATGCGGCTCTCCGCCCCTTTTCCCCGAATTTCAATAACGCAGACATATATTGCTTCATTTCTGATACGCATCGCTCTCGAAATTTGTGCGTTCAAAAGGGCCAGGAACTCTTTACATTAACTTTATATCGATGTTGCTAGCTAAACAAGATTCACAGCAATCTTTGTGTTTCCCGCTTTTTTCTCGCATTCGTTCATTTGCGCGATGGAAAAATTGCCGCGATGAATACGCGCGTGTCTATATACATATATATGTATATGTATATATATATATGTGTGTATGTAAAAATATAAAAATAAAAAGAGAAAAGGAGGAGAGGGAGATATGCCAGCCAGCCAATGGAACGCGACGAAAAGGTTTATGCGGGGCAATGAATTTTTTGTCGCTCACGCGCGCGAATAGATACTTTTATGCAAATCCGCGCAGTGTCGAGTGCCCGGGGAGGTATACGACCGATTTGATTCGAGTGGCCGGTACGAACTTACGTGCGCGTTGCCGTTTGCGAGAGCATAAGTGCAGGGCATGCCGTGCACTTCAAGCTGACAAAGTGACGATTACGCTAAACGCATGACGGTCCGTGCGCGCGTCACGCGTCACGCCACTTTAGCCACTTTAACGCGCGTTAAACGATTTCCGGCCAAAATGCCTGTATGTTGGGATTCGCATAGTACGCTTTCGCGAGAGAAGGCTCCAGGCCCGATTCGGCCTGGACAGCTGTCACACGACGCGTCGGATCTGTACCGGCGCACATTGAACAAACGGAGATGACAATAATAATAATCATAATCATAATAATATGAACAACAATAGCGACAACGATGATATCTCGGGCGAGCAATAATGGAAGAACAGCGCCGAAAGTCGCGCGACGATCGATGATCGTACGTTAATGGAGCGGAACTCGCTCGTCTCCCTCCGTCGAGGTGTCTCCGGGTGAACGAAACGAGACGATCGCGCCGACCGGGAGGTGGTCTTCCAGCGAGATATAATTACGCGCGCGGCGCGCGACGGAAGTCGAGCCGTTATTAGATTTACAAACAAGAGCGCGCGCGTTTATAAGACCCATTGAATTCCATTCGTCGCGGAAACGAGAGGCCCCGACAGAAATCTTTTCCGCGTCCCTTCCGCGTTTCTTTTGTTCGGCTGGAGATCGCGATGAAGAGAGCGAGTGGGAGAGAGAGAGAGAGAGAGAGAGAAAGAGAGAGAGAGAGAGAGAGAGAGAGAGAGAGAGAGAGAGAGAGAGAGAGAGAGAGAGAGAGAGAGCACGGTGCTGAAGTCGGCATCATCGCGGTATCGGCAATGCACGAGGCGGCTCTCGGTTAATTACTCACGTAGCGACCTCGACGGGAACCTTCTGAGCCTTTCTTGGCCGACGCAGCGTTCGCGTGGAAGTCGCCGTGGAAGTGGCTCGAATCTTGGATTTAAGTTCTTCACCGTTACCCGTGCGAATGAAACTTTTGGTTTTCTTCTTCTCCGCTCGTTGAAAATGCGTGCTCTCTCAGCAGGATAATTTTGCTCGCAATCTCGAAGATGTACAAAGCGTCGAGTCGCTCTCTCTCTCTCTCTCTCTCTCTCTCTCTCTCTCTCTCTCTCTCTCTCTCTCTCTCCCCCCCCCCTCTATTCGCCAATGGACTCGACGATATGTTAAACTTATTCGTACTTGAATTTCTTTATTATTTATTCATCTGTCATCAGGAAGCTCATTTTTCGGATTTTATCGGAGGAAAACCCTCTTAATTTTTGATAATCGCTTCAAAGCACGCTTCAAAGGGCGATAATAAAATTACCGATTAAACAGTACGCTCGCCGTTGCAGTCGTCAGCGTAACACGATTAGCATGATCATTAATATATCAATTGTACAACTCGTTTCTCTCGTACGATAACAGCGACAAGGTCGAAGGTCAGCGACTACGCTCGTCGACGCTGAGATTAAATCAATACCGTGCACCGAGATCCACGCCTGTGCATGTGTATCCGTGTGTTGGTGACCGAGAGAGTTGCGCCGCAAAACTACCAGGTACCGAACGCAAAATCGATTACCTCCCGGTGGTTATCATTCCAGTCGACTTTGCGCATTGATTTCCGGAAATCGGATGCTGTTTTATTATATTTCGCACAGCCCTATTAGTCCTCGATTCCCGTCCAGATGCTGCACGTGACTGTACTCCACGGCAAGATGGCGACCGGCCCTCGAGAGCCCGTTTCGGTACTCCCCTGTAGGATTTCTCTTTTCTCTTCTCCCCTTGTTCTCCTCTCGCTCACCTTTCTCTTCCCCCTCCCCCTCCCCCCTCTCTCTCTCTCGGTTTGCATTCTCTCTCCTTCTCCACTTTCCTCCTTTCGCCCTCCTTCTTCCCTCTCTCTCCCTCCCTCCCTCTCTCTCTCTCTCTCTCTCTCTCTTTCTCTCTCTCTCTCTCTCTCTCTCTCTCTCTCACTCACTCTTTCTTTCTCTCTCTCCCTCGTGTTCGCTCGCTCACACCGGTACTTGAAATTTTTTACCGCCATGAAGGGTGGAAATGGAATAAAATGAAAAAAAGGGGAGAAAATCTCAACGTAGACTACTAGCATGCCGTTGAGATCGTCGCGGTGCCGTTGCCCGCGTCGGCGTCGTCGATGTCGTCTTCGTGAGCGCTCGTCCTCGTCCTCGGCCTCCTCCTCCACCTCCTTCTCCTTCCACTTCACCTTTGCGCGCGTAACGATCGAATTTTCCCGCCATGCAGCGTGAAATTAGCCGAGACGTATCGGGATCGCATCGTAGGTCGACGGAAACGACACGGAGTCTCCGCGATACACGACGCGCGTCTTTCTTTCCGCGCCGACGACAGAAGAATCGAATGAAAAAAAAGGAAAAAAAAACAGCTACGTCGCGGGCACTCCGGAGGGCGAGAATCCGGAGGGTCGTGTTGTGATCGAGCGAGAGCGGCCGGGTCGAACGTCATGGAAAGAAGGGAGGACATATCGATGTGTAAACATGTCCACGGAAGCACGATAAACTAACGACTAAATTATAGGGCGGCTACCGAGCGAAAGAATCGTTCGCTCTCGCAGATCGGTCCGCCAGATTACTTTCAGCGCCATTAATGGCGCTGTATGGCTGTTTACGGGCTGCACCGCGACGCAACGTCGAGTCTTTATTGTCGCTTACTGAACAGGCTCGGTCTCGATGGCGGGCGGCTTCTGTCGTCGATATCTTCGCGATCGGCAGACTTTCCGTTCGAGGCGCAGGATCTTTGACATCTCGCGGCAACGAATTTTTGCGGAAGCTCTTCCTCCCCTCCTCTCTCTCTCTCTCTCTCTCTCTCTCTCTCTCTCTTTTCTAATTGCGTTTACAGTGCAATTACCTAAATGCATCTGTTTGTCTGTCTCTCTATCTGTCTCTCGGCACGTCCGTTTGGATATCAAAAATCGTGTTGCAATTTCGGCGGATAAAGCGACGTTGATATCGCGGACGTTCCATTGTTTACTTTCCGGCCGTAGGTGCATCTCCGGATAATCGATAAGCGCAAGTGAAATTCGCTGAATTGCGATCTCTAACGGTTTCTAACACCGCACGACGACGGTTTAACGAAATCGTCCGGCCGGACGTTCGCGGCCGGTGTGTTTTGACTCGCTCGCTCGCAAACGGCAAACTATATTTTCAATCGAATTTCGATAGTCCGCGCGATCCGCGTCTCCCGATGCGCAACAGTGCGCAACGAAAATCCGCTTATATCGGTGCGCTCGATCTGCACCGAGAGTGACACTTGTCCACGTATTTCACGAGGAATATTATCTCCCTAAAGCGATAACGAAGTGACGAATTTCACTTTTATAACGTGGATCGTCGAGCCCGCGCGCGGCACCGCAACGTCCGTTTTTGCGCAAATCTTATTAACCACCTCCGTTCGACGACGATGTATCGTCACGATCGTAGTATCTTCACCGTTACCTCCTAACGTAAGTACCAAAGAGGAAAAAAAGGAAACTGCTCGGGCTATTTCTGATTCGTTATATAATCGAATATTCACAACCAGTATCTCGCGTTGTCTCGCGTACCGTCCTTTTTGATTCTTTTTTTACAGCATTTCTGACATCTCTTTCTTACTTGAGCATGTTGCCGAGTCCGAGCCGTGGGGCGAAATATCGCAAGAAATAACAATATCGGCGAGGCGCGCGAATCACGAAATCGCAAGAGCGTATTCGCCGTCGCGTCGTCGTGCGAATCGCACGATTCGCCGTTAATGCGCGCTTTCAGTCTTCGTGACCGCGCATTCGCGATAGGCGCGATGTGTCCTAATATATTCCACAAGGAATCCACGCGTATCACCGCGATCTCACGAGCCCGGTGTCTTTTTCTAATAATATTCTCCGCTAGGGAGAGGGAGAGGACAATTGCTGCTGGAGCGCGCGCGGTGTACGAGCAGATCCGAGAGACACGGCACGTTTCGACGCCGCGGCCACGGTATCTCGACGATCGACTGTTATTATTTAAAAAATGCTCGCGATGCTACCGTGCTCAGGCACGTGTTGGCCCGCTCGGCTAGCGTCGACAATTTTCGTCCGTTAACATGTCGAATCGATTCCGAGAGAGAAACGTCCTTGCGATCGTATAATTCGTACAACTGAAGCACGCTAAAATATTCCGACGTCATCCTCTCTCTCTCTCTCTCTCTCTCTCTCTCTCTCTCTCTTTCTCTCTCTCTCTCTCTGTGTTGTTCTCTCTTTCCTCTCCCCCGTTTCTCTCTCTCTCTCTCTCTCTCTCTCCTCTCTCTCTCTCTCTCTCTCTCTCTCGCTCGCTCGCTCGCCCACCGTCGCGACCGCTCCGATGAACTTTGCATTTTGCGATCCGGCGCGCGCGATTTTCAGTGACTTTTAAATTTCAGCGGCGCGCAAATCCCCGTATGTACCCCGCCTACTGTACGAATATTTTACTCGACCTGGTAATCTCGCGCTAAATTTTTGAGCCACGTTCAAACGCGACAGGCGTGATTACGTGCTCAACGCGAGCAATTTTATCGTTCTGTCGACGACGCACGGCGCGATCTCCCTCGGCAATCCCAAATGACATAACAAAATAAATGCAAAATCGCTTCGAGCGCTCGAGTGGCGCTCTCGAAGCGAAATATGATGCGAATGCGAGGATTTATGCGGCTTCCGTGATATTTCTCATTGAAAGCCATTTCATTTCGAATCGCGCGACGCGACGCGACGCGACGCTTCCGCGTCGAGCACGGACCGTCATTATTTGAAAAACCGCCGGAACGATCGAGAGCCGAGCGCCGGCATCTCGATGCCAAGCACGTAAAAATCATGTGCGCTCGTCGCTCGAAAATGTTGCATCCCTGATCGCGCAAATGCCGATACATTTGTGCCGTCCGTGTCCTCCTCATCTCTCGCTGCCGCCTTCCATAATAACATTGACGTTATGCGTTATCGTGACAGTCGTGAAGAATCGCGTAGAGCTGCGCGACGCTGAATGATAGCGATATTGTCGCGTTGAGAGTTGCATTAACAAAATTCCATAGTAATTTCCACGATAAAATTCCACTCTCCGTGTAGAAATCGCATGGCAGACGCGCCATCACGCGTACACGAATGACGCGTTAACAAACGGCGCATTTGCAGCTGGTTGAGCGTAACAGGAGTCATTAAAATGTCGCATCGTGACGCAACTCGAGAAATTATACTGCTCGATCGACTCGCGCTCGAAGTGGCTCGCGATGGACCTCGAGGTACGCGCAATTACCTGATTTTGGGCGTTTTGCTCGGCCATCGCTTTCTCCTTCGCTTGCCTCTTGCACTTGTACCGGTGATTCTGGAACCATATCTTCACCTGCACATACATGAAAAACGCAACAATTGAGTCTTCGTTGAACATCGCGCTTGATATCAGTGTTCTCGACGCGCGAACGGCGAACGCTAAATGTGGCTCTCAAGCTGAAGCAACGTTACACGTGACGTTTTGTGCAGGAAAAGCGGAACTTGGAATTAGAAAGGCATATTTAGCGTTCATCGCGGGCTGAACGAGGCGCGCGATGCCTGGAACCCTCGACAAATAACAGTTCCGCGGTCAAAGCCGAAAATCGACGGCATTGAGTCGCTCTTACGTCGGTATAAACTGGGTGACACCAGGTTTCGTGCGCGAACTATCCAGCCAGGTAGGCCGACGAATGTTTTTCCAGAGGCAGCGCGACGACGACGACAACGACGGCGGCGGCGGCGGCGGCGACGAGCCGCTTTGTCAGACGCACTTTTCAACTCGGCCCTCCCCGAGCCATCCCCGATCCCCTAAATCCGTAATTCACGGTTAGAAGTCTGTGTTATTTCTTCGAGAGGGATTTAACGCGTCGTTCACTTTACCGGGACGGCCGACGCTCCGAGAGAAAGAGATAATACGAATTTTACGTCGCGCGCCAGGGAGAAAGAAAAGAGAATCACCGAACTTCCGCTCCGCCGCTGAATTTCGCGCGAGCCGCCTCGATCTGCGAAAACAATCTCGTTACATTACTCAGTTTGTGTTTGGTATTTAGAAAGTCGTTTCGTGAATCTCGTTCCGCGAGATTGACGTCTGTCGCTAAAAGCGTCGGGAGAATGTCGACTTGTCGCGATGTGATAATGATATCGATAATAATAATTTTATCGCCGCTACCGTCATTCCTTAAGATTAACCGGTAGAGTAGCGTGAGAGAGAGAGATGAAAATAGGACGAAAGGCGCGGCAATAAACTTTGAGACTGTTATGAGTCAAGGCTTCGCTTGCGAATGTGTTCACGTCCGAAGCGCAAGAAAAGCGACTGCTCCGTTTCAACGACACCGATCCCTAGTTAAGAATTAAATCAGCCAACAGGATGTGGCCCATTGTTTTCGCGGGTGGACGACAATGCAGATGCGATCAGATCGCGTCTGGTGGTGCGCCGCGCATAATGCGCACAGCGCGCGGATTATAACGCGCTCCTGTCATAAGCAGATGTCAATCCCGATTCCATCCTGCACGCGGCTGCACAGCCTCCTCCCCGATCGCTTAGTTCAATTGCCGTGAAAGCATCCTCGCACGACCCCGATCGTGTGCGCGCGCGAGCGACTGCTCTTACCGAAAAGTAAAACTCGCAGATCCGTCGGCGTGATTTTACGACAAGCAACATTATCCATGAATATATAGAATGAAACATGTGGAATTCGTGGCGTTTTAGATTAAACTCTCGACTGTCGGTTCTCCTTTTCAACTGTAAATTGTCGCTTTACGCTATTTCCGAAATTATTTCCTGTCCACTGAAAAAAATGTTTCGCCGGTCCAGCTAGAATTCTAAACGTTACAGCCAAAATTTTTCGCCGATTTTTGTATCTGCTAAACATCTGCTGATACACGAAATTTACAACAACAATATTCAAACAATACCTGCGGGAAAATTTAGGTCCCGTAGCTAAATATGAATCACTGCGTTAAATGAAAATAATAATAATAATAATAATAATGTGACTGGGCGCCACAAAGAGATTTTCTTGCTAAATTTGACAAACAGTCAATTTGTCCGAAATTCTGTTCTGTCTGTTTATATTGGTTAGATACAAAACATATGCAATATCGTAGTGCTTGCCAGTCATTTAGCCATTTCAGCTAATTTCTCGTACCTAGATAATTTTCGCTATGACTACAACAAAATCATTTCTCTCAATGTCGGTTGACGGTCAGTGAATGTATGTTAGACGTTACGTTGTTCCCGAAGAAACTCTTCATGTAAGTAACGTGAAAGATAACGTCGCGGAATATTGCTCAAACTCGCAGAAATTTGACGAATATTTACTGAAATTCGCGGACATTCTTTTATTCTCATTGGCGCTGTAACCCAAAGATGAAGAGATGCAGCCGTTTGAAATTGATCCTCGATAATGACAACTAAGAGATGAATCCCCCTACTGACGCTTCGCGGTTTCGAAAGTATCACCGGCCTCGCCGGCTCGGAATGAATCGGACCTCGGAATCCTCCTGGCTCACTCGGCCGTTGCGGACGGCGTCGTCGTTTCGCGGCGGGCGATTTTTATCGTTCGCATTATTACGGAGAGTGCATATGTTGCCGCGTGTAACCTCCTCGTCGAGTGGCTGTTGCGCGCTGCAGCCTCGTGTTCCCGAGGCGGTGTAACCCCCATTGTCGTAGCTGCGTGCGCCGGGAATGCAACGAAAGCACTTTAAGGGGAGCGTCCAGCCGACCGTGTCTCGAGGACTCGCCACCGTCTGTCTAATTCTTTGAATATTAGCGGGATCGGCGGCCACCCTCGGAAATATCCTCCACCCCTCCGGGGTGGCCCTCCGGAATTGCCACCTCGAGCGTGGGCGGTCACCGGTTGGTTTAGTCGTTTCGTCGCCGGTACCCGGAGATCGATTATCTCGTTCTCTTCGTTACTGGCATTGTTCGAGCCGCGCCTTCAAGTCTCGCGTCTCGCTCTCTGCAGGTGGTCAGACCGGACCACGCGGAACGATTGACGGGGACACTTTTGTTGCAAGCGACGCGGTGTCAGTGACGTGACAAGTCCTGGCTTGTGATCGTGCTCTTATTTGCGATTAACACTTTCGCCTCGGCTGGAGTTAGCTGCAGATGGACGCGCGATAACTTCAATCGTGCAATGTCTAACTCGCGGCGATCGTACCATCTTCCACGCAGCCGAGAGATGAGCATCCCCCCCCCCCCACCCATCTCTACCGCGATTTATTTCTCCCCCTTCTGTGCATTATATTACCCGTATTGTTTCATCGGTCCACTCGGAATCATCGTTAAGAGCGAAAAGCCATGCGAATCCATCTTAAGGAACATTTGATCGCGAAAAGAGGAAGCACTCGCGCGCGCAGCCCTTCTCGCACCGTTGCGTGAGTTTTTACGTACGCTTTGTGGCGCGGCCGGTACGTAGGGGGCGAGAGACCTTATCTAAAAGCCACGAAGAGGTACTAGACGAGGGAAGTACTCTTTCGCCGCTACCGTTCGTTAATTCCTTTTCTACCGATAATCCACTCGTCGAGGCTTGTCGAGTTTCGGCCGCACAGTGCGCGCGCGAGCACACTCCGCGCTGACTTCGAGTGATCTACAAATAGCCGTTTACTTCTGCGTGTGAACTTGCGCGGGTCGTACGTACGCGACGCGACGCCGACGGGGAGACCTTTCCGGTTCGCGAAATTTTCGCTCGTCATCGAATCCTCGAGTTTAACGACCGTTGGCATTTGATCGCCGCTCGCGGTGAGACGGACGCGTCTGTTTGAGAATCGACGCTTAAGTAGAACAAAAGTCAGGGGAAAATTACATGTCTGAGGCTGATGTTAATAGTCTTGATTAATAGAGACCGGGACCGAAAGGCGAGACCGTGCGCGGACGTCGTCAACAACGCGCAACTCGCGCATTGTTGTCGCACCTTGTATGTACCTTGAACCCGAGCGCGAATAAAGGTCCGAAGGTTGCGCGAGAGATAGATCCGACGATGGAATGGGAGTCGAGCCGGAGCCGAGCCGACGGCGCGGCGCGGCGCGGCGGAGCGAATTGTTATTTCAAGAGAACCGACGCGTCCGTCAGTCCGTTTGTCTGTCACTCCCGGTAAGAGATGCGGTGTGTAAACAGGGAAAGTTAAACGAGATAAGGATATATAACTGGGTGTGGGTGTGTGTGTGTGTGTGTATTCGTAAGAACACGAAATGCGGGCGTAAAATTCAAGGCTAACGATGTCGAGCGAGACGATGTATTTCCTCGATCGCTTCGCTTAAATTTTCCCTCCCTCGTAACGAGCACCAGAAATAGCGATTCTTTAAAGGCTCTAGATGCAAGCAACCGTAAGAAAGATAGGCCAAAGTTAGAGCCGTCGTTAGATGTCGAGATAAGCTAAACTCAACGAGGGGATGGACAAATTGTCGCAGATAGGTTATAGATATTAAAAGCTCGCATTATAGATATTAAAAGACGGCTGAAAGCGACTGTTGCTCTCTCAGATATATCCTGAAATGTCGGCCCGTGTATGCGTCAGTCGCGTCCCTGCGAAAAATCCCCACAGGACCTCGAGGGTCGGGGAGGCGGGCTCGAAATTTACCTAACGCGAGGGAGACGGTAGCTTGGCTTTAACTTCCGATTAACTCGTAGTTTGCTCTCGCTCGGCCAGGTAAATGAAGTGCCCGGCGGCGGTGGCGGCCGCGCGAAAGACGAACGACATGCGGCCTCTTTTTCAGAAAGCCACAGAGAACCTGTCCGCACACGTCCTTCCCGGCTAATTGCCAGGAGCGAACCTAAACGAACCATCTCTCTCTCTCTCTCTCTCTCTCTCTCTCTCTCTCTCTCTCTCTCTCTCTCTCTCTCTCTCTCTCTCTCTCTCACTCTCACTCAGGTGTCATCGATCCTACGAGTCGATCTCGAAGGCCACGCGCGCATCAAGTGTCGGTTTACACTCTCAGGACGCAGGGTAAATCTTCGAGACGAATTCGAGGACTCGTTGTCGAGGACACCCGTCGCTCGCTGTGATTCCACCGCTCGCAACAGGTGCCGCGAGCGCGAACGGTATCGCTCGTTAACGGACGACGTTCTCGCGTATCGATGTGCGCGCGATTATCCGATTAAGAAATCCATCAAATCGGACCGGGTCGTAAATAACTTGCCGCTTGTCGCCGCTTGACGTTAGTTGGCCCATTGAACGCCGATAAATCTGCCGAGTGAGCGGCACGCCTCCACGGCGAAGGTGCATGATTATATCGCACGGTGCGTGCGTGCGTGCGTGCGTCCGTCCGTCCACTCGCTCGCTCGCTCGCACGCACGTCGACACGCGTTCGGGTAGCATCGAGTATCTGTTAGCCTCTGCTCGACAGAAACGC